ACCTATCCATTTATTTCTTTGATTTAATTTCCACTTTGCTACTGAAATTTTTTATATAAGTTTCAGTTTTTTTTTGTGTATTTAGTGTATTCTTTTTACCAACTTTTTTGAGAAAAAAACGAAAATCTATATATACATGTATTTAATATGCCAAAATTACAAAATATTGCCCTAAAATGCACGAATTATCCGCAGCTGGCGCTAGTATCGCTTTTGCTTCCCTTTCCATGACTTCGCACGAAGCGAATAGACTCATTTCTTTAAAAGTATTTAATTGCATATATTCACAACTATTTTTCTGTTAACACGTAGCAATTATATGAGATGTATTACACATAACGCAGGGAGTGCCACAATGATCCCTACTGGGCCCCACATTATGGAATATACCGTTCAACCCTACTCTAAACATCATAATACCTGGAGACGGTTTTACCTTCGCATAAGCTAATGACATGTCTTTATCAGGATCGGGTGTTTTATTTAACATAAGAGGTTGCAATTCAAGGACTGTCTTAAATATCTAGGGTTTTTGATTAATAACGGTAAAATCTTAAAAATCACCGTATCAGAACTGTGGATAAAATGTCAATGCTGGTTAGTGCGCTCTCTAGAATCCTGCCATACCTAAACGAACCGGGAAGTAGCAAAAAAGGTTATACAGCAACGTTGCACAATCTATAATACTGTATGGTGCAAAAGTGTGGTCAGAGGTGGTTAAAGTATAAAAATACAGGGACATATTGGTCAAAGCACACAGAAAAATGCTACCCATGACTATAATTGACATCTACTTAAGATTTTAAACGCTGTCAACATTTCCACTAAATAACACCTTTTTTAATTAGGCGGGCAGCAACACAACTTTTTGGGGTTGTTAAGAACACCCTGTATAAAAATATTAGAATCGCGAAAAGGACTAGACTGCCTTTGTAACATTTACTTAAGTATCTATTCATAGCAAGGTTGGCAAAGTCAATAAAGTAAAAACAACTAGCGCGGTTGTTATCCAATACAGATGCACGAATTTAAAATTAATAATAATCATTGGACAAAGGAAATCTGTTGGTAATATGCTTGCGCGGCAATAATTGCGCGAGCCGTAACGGTTTGGAATCACGCCGACGATGGAATGTGACTTTTAGGTTCGCTAATAAAAAATAGTTTTTTAAAAAAAAATTAAAAACTTTACAAAAAGCGGAACTTTATTTTAAGACTCTACTATAAACAAGTTAAAATGTTAAAGCTTTATCTTGGACTTGCCAAGTCTGCATAATTCTACTTATTTTCCTATGATTGTGTTATCATATTTGTGTCCTTCAGACTCAATCATTATTACAGACACATCGACAATTGGGTAAAGACCCATACTCTAATGGCGACCAATTTATAAATGTTCTTAGTACGGTATGTGTACATCGTGTAAATAATTAATAAATGTTGTATTATAGTAAGAGCCCAGTGCCCCCAGACATAACTTATTTTCTAAAGGACAAAATGTGGGGCATCAAGTAGTGTTTATATATGTATTGAATGCCTCCATACCTGCTAAGTTGGTTAGTGGGCCAATTCACAGGTACCAGGTGAGAAAGGTAACTATAAATAAGGTTAACTTTACTTATTTTCTAAAGGCTGATTTTTTATATATATTCCATAAAATATTATTAGAAAATAATATTGAACATTGCTAGACACTTACCGTGGGCCATAACTTCTGCTAGACGCTTTAAAGCTCCCAATTTTTTTTGTAACTTTACTTATATTCTAATGTCTGGTTTTTAGATATGTTATTTAAGGAACTATTTTAAACATATGTTTATTCAGCCAGACTAATTGTAAGGGCCAAACATCCCCCAGACATCAAAAACATTTAGCCGTAAGTATGCGCAACTGTACTATATGCTCGTGCTTTGGAGCGAGTAAGATATAAATCGATGGTACAACAGCAACACGTATAAAATCTTTTAATATGGCTTGGAATATCTACTCTGGAAAACCGTGATTTAAAATTATCGAGTTGTTGCTTTATTAAATTGATAAAACAATTAAATAGGAACATACTAGGGAGTCATGTCGCACAGCTGTGCGACTACCTTTCGAAGGAAAATTTCAAATGTTTACCGTCCTATAGAAATATTTAATAACGCCTTTGCATTTAATTTTTAAATAATAAATGACATGCTTCTCGTCGATACGGATAATTCTTTTTCAGGTTTTATTCGTCTATCTCCTCTTTTAAGCAATGTTATCCCCGGAAAATCGTCTCATCCGAAATGTCCCCTAATTGTCCTGTAAAATCTGTTTGATGTACCGGAAAATTGTCTATGCCAGGTTGTGAGCAACGTCGAGTAGCAAACTGGTATTTTTAGTTTTTCTAGAAAATTCATCGGAAAAGTCGGAAAATTTGAAAAACTAAAAAAAATATTTTTTTCGATTTTCACCACATGAAAGGGAATTTCTCGAAACGGATAAATCCGTTGTCGAAAAAAAGTTGGTCTTACCGGAAAATGCCCGAAAAACCACTTTCACGAAGGAAAATTATTTTTTTTACATGATTCGACAGAGAAAATGTCAATCTTTCGGAAACAGCGAGATTTGATGATCTCGTAGCAGTTTCGTAACAGACCGACAGACAGACAACACGTACTTAGGTTTTTTTATTTATTTATTATTTATTATTATTATTATTATTATTATTATTATTATTATTATTATTATTATTATTATTATTATTATTATTATTATTATTATTATTATTATTTTTATTATTATTATTATTATTATTATTATTATTATTATTATTATTATTATTATTATTATTATTATTATTATTATTATTATTATTATTATTTTTATTATTATTATTATTATTATTATTATTATTATTATTATTATTATTATTATTATTATTATTATTATTATTATTATTATTATTATTATTATTATTATTATTATTATTATTATTATTATTATTATTATTATTATTATTATTATTATTATTATTATTATTATTATTATTATTATTATTATTATTATTATTATTATTATTATTATTATTATTATTATTATTATTATTATTATTATTATTATTATTATTATTATTATTATTATTATTATTATTATTATTATTATTATTATTATTATTATTATTATTATTATTATTATTATTATTATTATTATTATTATTATTATTATTATTATTATTATTATTATTATTATTATTATTATTATTATTTATTATTATTATTATTATTATTATTATTATTATTATTATTATTATTATTATTATTATTATTATTATTATTATTATTATTATTATTATTATTATTATTATTATTATTATTATTATTATTATTATTATTATTATTATTATTTATTATTATTATTATTATTATTATTATTATTATTATTATTATTATTATTATTATTATTATTATTATTATTATTATTATTATTATTATTATTATTATTATTATTATTATTATTATTATTATTATTATTATTATTATTATTATTATTATTATTATTATTATTATTATTATTATTATTATTATTATTATTATTATTATTATTATTATTATTATTATTATTATTATTATTATTATTATTATTGTTATTATTATTATTATTATTATTATTATTATTATTATTATTATTATTATTATTATTTGTGCAATAATCTAAAAATGGTCAAATTTGGACTTGTTGCTATAAAGAACTGGACCAACGATATACTTACCATGTTAAATTTAGGCTCAAATCTAAATGACCTCGGTGCCTCTTCGCTATTTATCTGGGGTATTTTTGACAAGTCTGGGGTCACCAATCAGAACCTTGGTTGCTGTCACATAAGGAAAATAATATCTATAATTATAAAATATTAAGGTTATAAGCCGCTTAAAGACAAAATAAATAGTGTGGTTATTACAAAATTTAGAAAGCTTGATTATATTATATTAAATACATTTACTCGCGTATAATATTTTAAATTTTTAAGGTCACAGACTTTTAGATCGATTGACATTTGAGTGCGATTTTTTGATAACTTTACTCTTTGGTACAACTGTTAGTGTGTTTTTTAAGTGAAATATCATGGCACAGTTATTAAATTGTGTATTTTGTAAAGAATGTGATGAAAATTCAACATTATTTACGGATGAAACTTTAAAAAAGTGTCAAGTAATTTTAAAATTGAGAAAAATACATAACCTAAAATACAAAGATGTTGTGTTGCCAGTTGAATTATTTGAAAGTGGTTATCACAGACATTGTTATAAATCGTTCACGGGATTAATGAAAAAATATTACTAGGAAAAATTGGAAGTTACAGGAAAATCTAGACGAAAAGAAAATTTAATAAATATAGCCGAGGACACATCAACGGCATCTACACCAAGTCGACCAACTATTTCTACAGTTGATGATTCATCTATAACATCTACCTCAAGTCAAGCAACTATCTCTACAGTTGAGGATCCATCTTCAGCCTCTACCTCAAGTCCCCCAACTAGTATTTTACCTGTGTCAATTGTAATACCAAAGCTTCATCTAATTCTGAAGGACATTGTGTGCAGCCGGAATGTATTGTTGATTCTCCCTCTCAAAGTAATATTTTGATTGAAAGCAACGTAAGTGTTTATGAAAATATACAAATTTGTATATTTTGTAATCTAAAGACAAAAACACAACGATTAAAAAGATTGCCCTTACATTCATCTAATAAAAACGATTTTCTTAAAAAGTTAGATGGAGAAAATGAGGCATTTACGAAATTAATTAATAAAGTTCAAAATAGTGTTTATTCAACAATATATTATCATATAAAATGTCAGTTGGATTTTTCTTATGAAATATCGTCGAAGAAAAAAATAATAAAAACAAATTTGCATGATATTCGTCAACTACATCAAGCTGTTTTTGATGAAATGTTTGTTTTTATTTAAGAAAATGTAATAAATAAAGGGCGTTGCTTTTTTCTTACTTATCTTCATAGATATTATATGGAGTTATTTAAAGAAAAGGAACAAAATGAAGAAGAAATAATTGGAAATTTTACACCACACAATTTAGAGACTAAATTAGTTAAAGCTTTTGACAAGGAAGTAAAATTTTTAATAATTCAAAATAAAAAGTTATTAGCTCCAAAACATTTAACGACTATCGACGACCAATCGTTTGAAAATTTGAAAGATGCAGACATTCTTAATAAAGCTGCATTATCATTAAGAAAATCAATATTGCAGGCTGAAAAGAAGAAATTACCAAACGACATATGTGTACGCGACTTACAGGAAGGAGAAGTAACTGTGACTAAAGATTTGTCGGAGTTTTATAATACTTTGATCGCCGGTAGTAATGGCAAACGGAAAAAAAATCCAAAATGCATGCGACAAGTCCAATCCTTGTGTGAAGACGTCGTTTATTGTGTATATAATGAGAAATATAAAACTTCTAAACACATTAAGCTCGGAATGACATTAAAAAGTTTGACTAGCAGTCGTAAAATTGTTGATATAATTCACAGATACGGACATTCCATTATCTATTCTGGAGTAGAAGAACTGGAAACAGAAACTACTTATTTTTCATTAAACAAATCCATGCTATGTCCTAAAGCTATTAAAAAAAAACCCAATTTATCTACTGTGGTTGCTTTTGATAATTTTGATCGATTTGTTGAGACTAGTAGCGGAAAAGATACAATGCACGATACGGTTGGCATTATCTATCAGAATATAGATCCAAATACTCAAGATGAATCCGATGTTCAAAGTTTGCCTTCTGTTAGTAACCAGAAAACTTTCAATTTGAGAAAGAGAAAACGGAGAACATTTGAGGGATTAAATCTGAAAGAAGAACCTTACCCTAAGCAACCGAAGATGATTTATAGTTTAGATATTTCTGTTCACGAAGATGCAATTATGCCACCTACAAATTTACAACTGTATAGTAATATCGATACAACTTGGATGTTAAGCCACGCTCTGCAATTACCAAATCTTCCAATGTGGGTTGGATACAATTGCTTGATAAGTTATCATCATAATACAAAGCAAATCCTTTCTTATCTCACTCCTATAAATGCATCACCGACTAACAAATCAGTTATTTTGGAAACTATGAAACAAAGCCAGAGAATTTGTGAGGAAGTTAAACAATCTTCTATTCAGGTTACTTACGATCTTGCAATTGCAAGAGTAGCCTTACAGATTCAAGCTACCGAAGCACCTAAGTTTGACAATATATTTATACATTTGGGGCCGTTTCATATTATGATGTCATATTTCAAGACTATTGGAAAATTTTTAGTTGACTGCGGCTTAACAAATATCATGGTGCAAAGTAATTTGCTAGCGTCGGGGTCAGTTGGTGGATTTTTAGAGGGAAAACACTTCAATAGATGTAAAAGGCTGCATCCATTGATGTCAGTGGGCCTTGAAACTTTACATTTTAGATCGTTTTTAGATATAAATATTATACAAGTTACAGATACAATGATAGAAGAAATTAATCGTCTTCAAAATACTCTAATATCATCGTTTAATGTCGAAAATTAAGAACTACAGGAATTATTGGATAATTATAATATTTACAAACAACAGACTTTCAACGGGGAACATGGTAAAACAGCGCAGTTTTATTTAATATACATCAATCTTATTTACTAATATTTAACCCTATCGCGGAGTATTCGCATTGGAGATTTTGATATATTTAAATTCGTACTACAGAAAATCACGAATCTATTTTTTATTTTCAATCAACCAACGCTCGATGGACAGTTCGATACGTTGCGAATTTGTCAAATGTTGCCGAAACTCACCCTGATTTGTTTAAAGAATTTCAAGCAGGCTTTTTTGGCATTCAAAGAACTAATAAACCTTTCTCAAAACAACCTATTGATTTGGTTTTAGAGCAAACTATAAATGCTGATGCTGCCAGGAGACTTACTGGTATCATACAATTTACAAATTCGATCTCAGCACGCCAACGATGGGCTCGCAGACATGATATCAGATCAACCATAATCAGTTCAGTTTATAAAGATTTGAGCTTACAAAAAGATCAAGATGTTTCAGGAGAGCTAATCAATCATGCCATTAAATACAATGCTAAGCAACTGCAGAAATTCATCAAAACTTTTGATTTATTCATAAATCCATTCGGTGCGGTTTCAAAAGATCTTTTAATTAATATTTCGTCAGGTAAAGCAGCGTCCGAGCCGGTAGAGAATTTTCTTCTCAACATCGAAAAGAATGGTGACGTCAAACGTAAAACGTTCATTAAAGAATGCGAATCAGATATTAGTAGATTTGAGAAGAGCATTAAAAAAATACCATAAGAAAACTTTTCTCTGGACTATTCTAACAAAAAAAAAAAAACAGAAATAGGTGGGAAACTTCAGGAAATAAGGATTCAAAGGGATCTATTTGGGCGTATTCTGGGAATATATATTAATCATAAAGTAGATATGGCCAAAATTTTGTCATATCCGATAACCCCAGTGCCATTATCAATGTGCCATTTCGATGGTGGCATCTGCAAAACACAAAAGTCATTTTTAATGAAATCCTTAGAAAAAGACGTTCAACACTATCCACCATCTCAAACCGACATTTTATTAGTTAATGGTTGTTTTTGCTGCATACAATGAGAAACGTGCCAAAAACTTTTGGAGCTATTTCAAAGAAGATGCTTCAAATGGTCACACAACTTAAAGCTATAAGATACGATGTCATTTTTGACCAATACTTTTCTCCTTCTATAAAAAGTTACGAAAGATCTCTTCGACAAGAGAATACACAGCTTGATTTCAATATTACCGAGGCAGATCAAGTTAGACCATCCGACTTCTTAAAGGAGTTGAAGAATATCAACTTTAAACAGGCACTTGTTGATTTTTTTATTCAACACTGGGCATCAGATGAAATGGTTCCATTCATTGGCAATAAAAGAATTTGTATTAATTTTAGACAATGTCATTCTTACATGGTTCAAAATAATAAAGTTGTATCAAGTATAGACAACGATTTTTCATGTCCAGAGCATGAAGAGGCAGACACGAAAATTATTTACCACATTTGTAATATTGATACTCAGGCTAATTTTGTAATAAGGTGTTCTGATACTGATATCACAACAATAATGTTGGGTAATATGCACAACTTGAAGAATTACGATTCAAATGTGTGGATATTAACAGGGACTGGAAATAAACAAAGACATATTGACTTAACGAAGATTTATGAGTACTTTGGAGCGACGTTGTGTAGGAGCTTACCCGGATTTCATGCTCTCACTGGGTGTGACTATAATCCTGCTTTCTTCAAGAAAGAAAAACAAAGACCATTCATCATATTGAAGAAGAAACTAGAGTATCAGCAAGCTTTTATAGAATTCGGCCAGTTAAAGTCATTTATGAATCCAGATGTTCTAAAAATTAAATTTAACAAAATACAAAATTTCATCTGTGACATTTACAACGTTACTGGAATAGTTGAAGTGAATGCTGCCTGACTTTAGCTGTTCGTAAATAATTACAAAGTTTCGGATGTAAATGAGCAATTTAACAATAAGAACTTCAAAAACTTTGATGCGAGCAATCTACCACCATGCAAAACTGAGCTTTTTCAACAATTTCATCGGGAAAATTATATATCAAATATTTGGAATAATGCCCATAAAAAACAACCGACCATTTTTACTCCAGAAAACAACGGGTGGACATTGGAAAGCAACCAGTACTAGTTTCACTGGTTTGATGGTGACCAATTACCGGGTTTTGTCAGTGAATCGCTTCAGCAAAATACAGGTATTTTACATTGACTTCAATTTCTAAAATTAAACAACTAAGTTTTCTAATTTGTTGATTTGTTTTTACAGAAGAAGCTGCTAGCGACGATAATGATAACGAGATGGAAGACGATGATGGTGATGAATACTTCAATGTAGACGATCATGATTGGTTTGATGATGAAGAATCTAATGACGCCAACAATGATGACCAGGACGATTGAGATACATTTACTTATTTTTAAATGAAATTTTTATACACCTAAGTTACTTTTTAAAAAGACGTTTTTCACAAAATTTTTATACACAAATATTTTCTTTTAATATTTTAAAGTAATAATTATTTAAATAGTTCCTACTTTTAACTTTGTATAGGTATCTCACTCTCTCCAAAGCACGAGCATAGTACAGTCGCGTATACTCACGGCTGAAAGTTTTTGGTGTCTGGGGGGTGTTTGGCCCTCACAATTAGTCTGGCTGAATAAACATATGTTTAAAATAGTTCTTTAAATAACATATATAAAAACCAGACAGAATATAAGTAAAGTTACAAAAAAAAATTGGGAGCTTTAAAGCGTCTAGCGGAAGTTATGGCCCACGGAAAGTGTCTGGCAAGGTTCAATATTATTTTCTAATAATATTTTATGGAATATATATAAAAATCAGCCTTTAGAAAATAAAAAAAGTTAACCTTATTTATAGTTACCTTTCTCACCTGGTACCTGTGAATTGACCCACTAACCAACTTAGCAGGTATGGAGGCATTCAATACATATATAAACACTACTTGATGCCCCACATTTTGTCCTTTAGAAAATAAGTTATGTCTGGGGGCACTGGGCTCTTGGTCTATATGGTGTTCGATATGTAAAATAAACAGTGTTAAGGCTGGGTTTACGTGAAAATTGGCGCGAATAAAATGCGTTTGAAAACATCGACCATAGCCGATCTAATTCGTTTAAAACGTAAATGATTTTGTGGACTCTCAAATTAGTTGAGAATAGTTGAAAGTATCAGTTAACACGTTCACTGCGTATTTCCAGTTGGGTCTTTTCCCAGGAGCTGAACTTGTTTTCAGTATTTGCTGCTTTTATGAATTAAGTTAAAATTATGAACATACATTAGAATAATATTTCTTCCATTTTTACCTGTAATTTTTGACATGTCGCACAATGGCGACATTAGAACTATGCGGTGTACTTAGATCTTCAGTGCGGATGTCGCTCATAGGTGACAACTATTTATTCACCGTTAAATTAATGACGCATGTTGTAAGTGAGATGCTTATTAAGAAAAAGAACAATATTAAAAACTAACACTTTCTAGTAACGGAAACACCAGTCAACAAGTATATAAAATAAAGTATACTAAAAATTAAATATAAAAATCGAACTGAATGATTGAAAAACTTACAAAAGATTTCTATGATAGTCTACAAAACATTTTGTTATGCACAAACCAGGCTTATCTGGACAAATCTCGCAATGATACAGTGACTCTTTTCTGATGGCACATTTTGCACCGTTTTCTTATTACTCTTCCTACCGAATTTTTTGCCGTTATTTTGATGGGAAAATGTTCTTGTGAAGGTTTTGGTTTAGGACGAGGCGTAACAGTTGTCTGAGGAAGCAAAGCTCCTATTACTTTTAGTCTATAATCATAGAAGTTAGATTTCCTCCCTGAGTACTTGTTATAAAGGAGGTATGAATTTAACAGGGCTATTTGAAATATATGTATTGCTAATTTCTTGTACTATCTGACGGTTTTATGCGTATTTGGATAATACGCCATCATTTGGTCCTGACGATCAATTCCACTCATATACTTATTGTACTCAAGTATAGGAACATATTTCAACTTTTCCTGTCCTCTTTTATTTGTTATAGTGGCTAGATTGTTGAGATATAAGTGATATCTCGTTTATCCTTTCACTTCCCTATCATCACTCTGTCTGAATATCTACAAACACTGTCACCCTTACTTAGTTTTGCTTTTTTTACATCTTCAGGGTTATCTTTTCTATATAATCGTAGTGTACCTGTACAGTTAGTATTTGCTTCTAGTAATTTTGCTGCTAAGCTAAAGCTATTATAAAAATTGTCCATAAATACGGAATGTCCGTTATTTAGTTTTTCTTGTAATAAGTGTAGTACCACTTTATTTGCGTGTCCTTTGCCTCCCATATCGTCCAACTGTCCAGTGTAAACTAGAAATTTTAACACCATACCATTTGGCTCGGTTTACATATATAATTTGACGCCACATTTGTGTCTTTTGTTTTTGATATACTGGCGGAAAACCAGTCGTCCTCCCCACAAGACCATAGACTCATCCAACGAGAGCTGCTTGCCTGGATAGTAAATTTCACACATTCTCTCATTGAAATAGTCTATCTATCCACGTATTTTATACAGGCGATCTTCGGGCTTTGGGTTGGTAGGAGATGGATTTTTTGCAAAGTGCAAGCATCGCAAAATAAGCAGAAAACGATCTCGACTCATATAATCTGAAAAACAAGTTAAATTGAAAAGTCTGTCTTTTTCCAATAGTCCTGATATCTGTTTATTTTTATAGTTCCTGTTTGTAGAATAAGTCCTATAAACTTTAACAATTCTGGAACACTAAGTTCTTTCCACTGAGAAATACGAGAACGCTCTGTTCCAGCTTCACAAAGCACTTCCACAGCATAATCATTTGTATGCTGAACTATATTTTCCAAAATGCCCTCATCCAACAAATGTAAAAAATAATCGATCGGCTCATT